TATATATAATATATTATTATTGTCATCTTTTGTCTATTTGAAAATATAATTTCAAATCTTCTGCATAAAGCGATTCTATCATTCAAAAATAGTCGCCTAATATACATTGAATATACAGATAATCGCTACGTTAGCGTAATCGCAACTTGTGATTAATACATTGCAAAAAATTGACTCTTGCAGCCTTTGCAGCCTGTTGACATTTATACAGCACGATATCGATAACAGCTGATAAGAAGTAATCGCTCATATACTGAGAAGTAATTATACACACTCCAATTGGCGTTATACGTCACTTTAAACTGAGAACAGCGTATATATTTTTATGTACCGTAGCTGATAATATTTCAGAAATAATGTATATCTTAATAGCATTACGCATTTTCTCTCGCGTCAATGCCCATTTTTTCATCGTTGAATATATAATATTTATATACATTGTGTGTGTGATATATATTAATATTTAAATTAATATTTTTCGAAGTTATTCTCGCAGTGGACGCTTGCGAAACATTTCTAAGACGGATATAGTATTTTATATCTGTGAAGAATATCTCTAAAACGCGTCGAGAAACACATTTAGAAAGATATGTTAACGCACGATTCACGTGCGCGATTTATTACGAAGAATTTTCACAAGATAACATCTGTATTTCCCTATTAAATCGTTATCCGCGCGTATTTTATGCGCCATTGTAAAAAAAACAAATTGTTACTTGTATGATTAAAGGAGAATAATAAGCGCCGCTATATCGAGATAATATATTCTATCAATTATCAATATCTGTCTGACGAGAAAATCATTGATATTCTACTATTTAAAGTAAATATAAATTTAAATGTGAAATGGTTTATTTCCCAAAAAATGAAAAAATATGAATATATTAAAAAGAATGCCTAATAATCTCAATTTTATACAACTTGCATTTCAAAGTACAAGTAGTATCTTTTTTCGACTTTAAACGTACTTCGCTGTCTCGCAATCTAATATGCATTAATGAACAAGTCAATTAAAAAAATTGTTCTTAAAACAGCTCTCTCTCTTCTTTCGTTTTTAAGGCAAACCTTGTATGAAAAGACAAGAGAATTTCTTCTGTCTTATTATACATATTCTTTAATGTTATAAACAATATAATTGAAAACTTAAAAAAAAGTTTATGTACACAAATTTATATGCAATGTAAAATTTGATATTTTATAATCTATTCAAAACATAATCGTGCAAAGAATATTTTATCAAATTTTAAAACCGGATAATATTTCATTATTTTTTTATTAATCTGATATGTAAATCGGTAATTTTTATCATATTTACACATTCGAAACGTAAGGGTGGATGATGAAATGTTAAAGTGTATTCTAAAAAGAGAAAAATCACAGACCTCGGTAATAGAATAAGACAAAATAAAAATTTTTTCATCGTTGATGACGTAAAAATTAAAAAGTATCGAGATAATACAAAATAAATATTTTTAAATATAATATAAATTTTATAAGTTTTTAAATATAAAATCTTCCTATAAATTAAAGAAATATAGAAATAGTAATCGTCTTTTTAATTATACAAAAAAAATTAATGAAAACCATTCTAATATAATGTTGTTACACTATGTCAAAATATATCCAAAATTTTTGTGTATAATACATATTTTTAATTTAAGAGCCTTTCAAATACAATGTATTTTATTTTAAATTATATATGATGCCTCTTCTGCACGAATCGTTAAGTTTATTTAATTTTTCTGCAAAAAATATTTCAAGATTGTAACATATAAAAACTCCAAAATTTGATTCATAAATACGAACATGCAATCACACCAAATACCACGAGAAAAGAATTTTTTTCTCTTCCATAAAATTAGCATAAATGACCACAGCTAATCGACGTAAATACGCATCCGCATAAGCGCCATTCTTTGCATTTTTTATACGTCCCGTGCATTTTAAAAGTTATTGTAACTAGTGTGCACAAGCAGAATAGTGTTGTTAGGTGCAATCAGACAAACTTGGCAATATATTATATTAAAAGTGTATTTTTTACATAATATTACTCGTTAAACGCGCGTGTAAAAAAATTATGCTCAATAAATTTTATTACATTAATTATATGAAAAACGCAAGTATAAAAAATCAATCATTATGCATGTGGGGAAAACCAATGAATACGTGAAAGTAACGAACGAATGAGAGGAACAAAAGTTAAACCAACCGTTCTCGAAATATTCCTTTTTTTTTTTTTGCTGTGACGTGCGAGTCTTGGTGATTGGCGATGAGGATCTACATATAATGGGTCAAGGAAAGAACCAATGGTATGATAAATATGATAAAAGAATAATAAAATCGAAACGTAAGGGTGGATGATGAAATGTCAAAGTGTATTCTAAAAAGAGAAAAATCACAGACCTTGGTAATAGAATAAGACAAAATAAAAATAAAATATAAATTAATAAAGCGATGAAACGAACTCTTCATCATTACGAATTTTTTTAACGCTAGATTAATTAAGTAACACAAAAAACATAAACGTACATAATATTAATCATAGTTAATCTGTGCTGCTCAAGATCAAAACCATATCGTGTGTAAGTAAAACAAGGTCATACATGGCTCTAATGAATCTTGGAAATCATAAATGAAATTATTATTCCTCGTTATTGTATCTTTAAGATTGAAAGAGAGAGATGTGAACTCTTATATAAAAGTTTCATATTAATTCATTCGTATACCATTGTATAAAAAAATGCATGCAATCGGCAAATAATTCTTATATGAAAATAATGACATGCAAATCTATACTATATGTTGTTTAACATAAAAGAAATAAAATTTGTATATTTACATTATTTAAAAATGTTTTCTTTACTGAATAGCTTTGTTCCCGCTCTCATACTCCAGTTTCACACAATTTGCCTTTCATTATTGTTTACGGTAATGGCGATTGCATCGCTGTTTCTTGCTTTTTAGGACAAGAATCGTTGTTGTCATCGATATCCTCGTTCTGTTTGTTCTCCAGCTCGGTATCGTGAACGAGAGCATAGTTATTTAAATATTCTACTATCTGCATATGTCCGAAAGTCTCGGCTTCGTCAACTGGTCGTTTGCCCCACCTAAAAATATGATATATGTATGTTTCTAAATTCAGACTCTGGATTTAAAAGATGACTTTGCCAAAGCAAGAGTCGTACAATTCCTACTCTTTTAAAATGCTACAGTCATTAATTTAAAAATATTTAAATATATGCATACATGTATAAAGCTAAAAAGATATATAAAAAATTATATAATATTTAAGAAATATATAAATATTATATATGTAAATTAATTTTTTCTGAATTAAACAAAAGATAATGTTAAATATTTAAAAAATTGCGAGCAATAAAAAAGAGATACACAGGAAAGATTGAAATTTTAATTCCGAAAATATTACTTCGAATGTGTTAAATAATTCATAAATAAAAAAGCAGCGGTAATACTCAGAAATGGAGAAAAGCATAATTTTTTACTTGACAATATAAAAGTAAAAAGTATTATGCTATTCATAACGATCGCGGTGGACCAATCATCCGTAATAATCGTGAAATTATGTTGAGTAAAATACCAGCACACAGAAAATTATTAAAACAATCATTGTGATACTTGATCTTGAAGCAAATCGTATGACGCTTACCTGTCCTTGGGATTATGTGGAACTCCGCACTGCTCGATCAGAAACTCGACGCAATCCAGATGACCTTCGCTGGCGGCCAAGTGCAATGCGGTTCTGCCGTCGTAGTCGGACAGAGTCATGTCCATCCCGCTCAATCGGTGCCTAAAATTAGAGAGAAGATTCGATGTGATAATCAAAGAGTATTAGAGAGAGTTTATTATTATTCGAAAAATAATAATAATAAATATAATACATATATAATTATATTTATTACAAGAGGATCTACATATAATGGGTCAAGGAAAGAACCAATGGTATGATAAAATATCGCCAAGAATAATAAAAAGAAGAATAATTTCTGCTTGCGCTTTTCTCAGAATTATTACATTAATTTCTATATGATTAAAACGGTTGATTAAAATTTATCTAAATTAAATTACAAATAAATTTTTTATTCTAATTAAAAAAAAGCCAAAATATTAACTGCATTTTGATTGTTCTTTTTTCTAGCATTAAAATAGGCTGCTATAATTTTTTAAAACGGTTTATTCCAGAAGACTTTATTAATAATAATAAAATTTCGGCACTATACGATATCGTTTACATTCAGCCGACATTAGCCCTGTTACAGCGAATTAATAATATTTAACGGTCGATCAAGCGTTAAATACTAACACTAACCAATAGTCAATTTAACTGAAGAAGCTGTTTTCTAGATTATATCCTCAAGCATCTTGTGAAACTTGTATCATTCCGGTTCTTCAAGGTCAGGTTCAATGACTGGTCTTTAGCCATCGACGAATTATCAGAATTACCTGTAGAAATCTAGTAACATTCAGAAATTATAAAATGTCTTGCAACATCGATAATTATTACATCCGGTTACAATTGTAGTACATTTATATATAATACTCATATTTATTCATAGATAAATACATTCTTTGTATATGTGTGTGTGTGTTATATATATTTATAATATATAGTTATTATATATAATTATATATTTATATATTTATTATATACGTATACATATATCTATAACAAAAATTTTGATGAATATAATTTTCAAAGAAAAAAATTAACAGAACGCAATAAATTATAATTTATAATATAAGAATCTTTTTTAATGTACTACATTTGTCAACAATTATTATATGTATTTTTACATAATTAATTTTGGATTTTCCTTATATAATACGCGGAATTCTTTGATCGAGAATTCAGAGTAATTACTTGGAAATAACGAACGAAAAGCTGAGTTTGATTTCGAGTTCCAAACATGTGTACGCAAATGTCCTGAAAGTAAACAATTATTATCGACGATAATACAGTTGGCCTTGTCACTAAACATAAACATGCACAGATATTCGTGTACACGATGTCTGATCTTTACTTTGCGATAATATTCGTTATTTCCGTCCGTGCGTCATCATAAATACGGATGATGAACGCGAACGAGTTACTTAACTTTTTAGTTTATCATCAACTAACGATTTTCTAATCATTAATTTAAGTGGTGCGATGTTATGTCGATTGACCTATGAGAGATTCCTTGCATTTCAACAATCGGGGAATCCTCATGACGTGGTCAAAGCAAGTTAATCTTGTGAAGCAATTTTTTGGTCTCAAAATCGTTTCATTGACCTACTGGCATTATTATATAAGAAAATATCTATGTCCTATATCAAACATCATATGTTTGCTATTATATTTATTCAAAATTTATTAGAATTAATATTAGAAAAGTACAATGAATTTCTTAAAGAATTAATTTCTATAATAATATAACTTTTTTAAATTCTAGATTTGATTATCAAACATGAATTTTTACAAAAGATAAATATCGACAAATTCAAATCTTATCTACATATATAATTTTTTAATAATTTATCTATCGCGCGTAACTTATCTGTAGACACATTTTTATAAAATACTAACTTATTTAATAACAAACTTTTTTATATGGATTATAAACAGTAACAATTTTTTAATAAAGATATCAGTGACATAATTTCTAATAGAAATCAGATACTAAAGTCGGAAAGCTTTTAACAAATTTATTTTCAAGGTACTTTTTAAATAATACATGATGTTAAGAAAGATACGTGGGACACAAAGGCAATGATTTGTCCGCGATTGAATCATGATCGGATCAAGTTCGACGGATAGAATGTCGATATTACGGAATAGAATAGTATAATGAATGCAAATGCAAAACCCACGGGAAACCTTCGAGCGTTTCTAATGACTCACCTTCCGCGGGATATTTTAATCAGGCGACAAAATTTGGCGTCGGCCAGGAAAACCCAACTGTTTCACTTATGTGCTTTAACTGCGGTATCACTGATGTAGTCTTTACTATACTTACATATGACGGACAATGACGTAATCCGTGTATGTACATACCGTATGTCGTGGGTAGCGAAGGACTATTAATCATCCATTATTTAGAACTCTATTGTTAGAGTTTCGCTCGTATTTATATGATCTAAAATGTATTATAGTATTCTTTGATCTGGATATATTATAATTAAATTATAAATTTATATTTACATTATTTTTTACTATAAATTATAAAATATTGATAAAAACAATGAAATTCTTTTTGTCAATTCTTTTTAAACAGGAAACTATTATAATTTTTTTTTTCAAGTAACTCTTTTTCTATTCAAAACTATCTTTCTCTCACAAGATGTTTCCTTACAATTTTAGTAGGATTGTGTAAATTAAATATTTTTCAAGTTTCAATCCTGTCATAGGCAACATTGTTAAAAAAAATACAAAGATACATAATATCGTCTCGACATGTTAAATCTCGCGCTGGAGCTTTTGCATACAGACTCTGTCAAATGTAAGAGCATCGCGTGATGGAAAAAAGAACCAAACAACCATGCATTTCCGTGCGCGCGCGTTTATTTTTATTAAACAGGTTCTAAAAGAATATGTCACCTTCTCATCGCTGTGACATCACCGCTGGCAGCGCTAAACAGAAGATTAACGATCGAGAGACCTTTCGTCTCATATTTGTGCCGTCTAGGATCCTTCTTGTTCGTCGCATGCTTCAAGTTATCATATCTGTGATCACACAATGAACAGGCTAAAATAATCGATACAAGAAAGACCGACGACGAAGAATAGTCAGAATTCAAATTTTGTAATTTCTACGATTCATGATGTAAACTACATAAAGCTGAGAAAAATATTGAAAAAATATTTCATGATAATCGAAATATCAGGGGAAGACATTATTAAAATTGTCAAGTACTTTTTTAATCTTTTATCATCTTCTTATATCGGTCTTTGGTAAATTGGATTTAATTATTGATTGACTGAATCGTTACCTATGAAAGTTAAATTCAGTTACGAGCTCTTCGCAAAACTGCACACCGCGACAGGAATTTCCAAGCGGATCCAAGGGTGGAGACCACGTGCATATTCCCATGACATTTGGAATTACCACCAGAAGGCTTCCCGACACACCGGATTTCGCTGGTATGCCAACCTAGAGTAAATTATATTTCTTAATATAATGTTATGTAATGTGTTTTATTGAATGATTAATACGTCTATAAAATAGACTGATAATATTCACATGCACAAAGCAAGTATAATATAACAAATTTTTATATTAAATTATAACAAATATATAATTGCTAATAAAATATTCGCAAGAATCTCGTTTAATTTGTGAACGCTTTCAATCATTGACGTAAGAGGTATCGAATATCTCTTACGTCAATGAGATGTAGTTTTATTAACACTTACTTTGAATGCGAATTGTCCACTATAATCATACATGCCACAGCTGTGCATAAGACTTAATACGTCACGAACACTGTCCGGTTTTAAGACTTTTTCTTCAGTGATTGGACATATGCCACCGTTTGCTAGTGTGGCCGCCATCACCGCCATCGTCTCGCAATTCCCTTCCATAGCACAACACTTGACAATAAAAATACAATTTGTTAATACGTCTATAAAATAGACTGATAATATTATCAACGTCGCGTACATGTATCGTTATCAAAATAAAAATAAAAAATTAGGTTTGCTCCTATTGTCCGCGAAGTAAAATTAAAGTAAATGTTGCAAATTGTATTGCACATTAATTATAAAATATTGATAAAATTCTTTATTATTATATAAATCTAGACATGTATATATATTTATATTTTTATATAACGTATAACTTAATTTTTATTATTAAATATTAAATCTGTCACTATAATTAATTTGTCTTTTCTCTCTGATATATTTGAGAATTATTAGATTGAGTAATACACACTAATGTAAGTAAAAAAATAAACATATATAATTTAATCTTTGTAATTTTTTTGCATATATGTCCTCCAATTATTACGAATAAACGCATATTGTCAAGGATTTAGTTCTAATAATGGTTGTAGCTAATTATATCAACATAATATAACTCTCTCTACTTCTTTAATTAATAATACCACTGCCATACAAAACGTCCTGTCATTCCGCATATATGAATTTTCATTACACTAGCATTTTATTATAACTCGTTTAAATTGTTAGAATTATTTTATGTTTACTTCGCATCGGTTATAACATACATACACGTTTGACTGGTATGTGAAATCACAGCGCGCAATGTCGAGGTCGAAGCCAATCTTCATTTTTTGATATTATTGTTTGTTACTTCCTTCTAGTCTTCTTGTTTTTACGTTCTCCATGATATTGCGTCATGAAAGTACAAAGCTCGTTTAATGATTAGTTGATAGTTCGATCATCCGCTATCTCTACGATATTATCATACATGCATTCCGCATATTTTACAATTGTCTGATTGATGTATCCGACATTGATTAATGGAAATGCTAAAATTTTATTTTAACCGGTATGCCTTGATAGTAATAATTCATACTTTAAATAAGAAATACAAACGATTAATGAAATAAATACGGATTATTTTTTCAAATGTTTTATTTTATAGATAGAACAAGTACACATATGCTCCTATTGTCCGCGAAGTAAAATTAAAGTAAATGTTGCAAATTGTATTGCACATTAAACATACGCTGAAATGTAGCATATAAAAATTTAATAATAAAAGGAGACCTGCATTTATTCTATAAAAAGATTTCGACAACAGTGCTTTATCTATTAAATAGATATAAAATACAAAAAAAAATCACAAATTCAATTTTTAATAATTAAAGAAATATCTCTAATATATTTTACTTATGTTAGATCGTTTTCGTGATTTTATACAGAAAAGAAATATTTACCTGGAAATAATAGTCCATAATATCGCGCAAATTCGTCTTGTCTGGATAACAGTTGTGTTCCCTCATGTAAAATCCTAAAGCGTAATTTCGGTCGGCTGCTTCTCGTTCCGATAAGAAAACGGCGTTGTTGAAACCCAAATTCTCCTCACCGGCCAATCTTTTAAAGTAATTCATTGTAAAGTCGAATTTCTCTGCCAGGCCCAGTTCTGGTTTGACTAATGTTTTCAAAAGCGAGCAAATCAGTATTGCTCCGGCGTTGATCATTGGATTGTGTGGCTTTTCTAAAATAATATTTATTAACAGAAATTAATCATGTAACTAAAACTCATAAAAAAATTAATATTTAAAGTATTTAATTAATTAATTAATTGTTTCATAATCCATTAAATATCAGACTCTATATTTCAATTGACCAACCAAATTACACAATGTCAATTAATTAATTCAGAGAGAATATCAAGCAATACTCACTATTATGATCGAGCACGAGCTCGTTAAAATTTCTACCCGATGGCTCTTGGCCAATGTATTGATGTACCACTTCCGGACCCAATCTGTCCAAGGCAATCGCATAGGTTAAAGGTTTGCTGCAACTTTGAAGGGTGAATGGTATTGAAGTGTCGCCGATACTGAATCGCTGGCCGTCAATGGTGCACACAGAGACACCCCAGTATTCCGGATTCATTCTGGCTAACTGCGGTATATAGGAAGCAACCTTGCCTTCGGTGTTCGTCTTGCATTTCCAATAAAAATCTTCTATATGCTTTGTGAAACCCGCCCAGTCGGGAATTATGAATTGATGCCTGAAGGCCCGTGAGATTAGTACGATATTGGGATTTATAACCCTAGAAACAGAGAGCAACGCATTAAAAATATATCGCGTCATAAACTTCATAAACCAGACTTTAAAAAACAATTTATATTTATTACATATTATATTTGTAATTAGTGAGAAAAATATATAACATGTATTCAAGAAAGAGGAGTTGTCAAGATATTGAAAATTATAATTGTCCAAAAAGTTTTCTTATATTTTGCTCACTTTAAATAAAGTTATCTACTTGAGATCGTAAACTTACCTCCTAAATTGTTCTCTATCTAGTTTTTGCGTTTCGTGCGATATATTTTCATGACCCGCCTTTGCGTGTTCCTTTTTCAGATTATCCGTAAGTTCTTGTAGACGAGGATCATTCTTCCGCAAGCCAGTTATCCTTAAAGCCTTGAATACATGTACAAAATGTCAAATTCTATTCTTTTTAAATCATTTTGCAAATATATTAGAAACGCATATATAAATTTTATTGTACATACAGCTAGAAATTTTCCCACCGATACGAGACCGCTCTCTTCGTTTTTAAACATGTCGAATAAAACATCTTCAGCGTTTGTTGCTTGATCTTGATCTCGAGTGCTATAATATATTAATATACAACTATTGAAAGAAGATGTATGATACATTAATCGTTGTTACAGAAATGAAAACAATATTACCGATATTTTTCACAACTATACATTTTTCTACATACTTTGATCATAAATAATAAAATAATATTTAATGAATACCACATTATCGTTAAATATTCTAAAAAATAAATTATTTTATTATTTAGCAATCATAAAATTAATATATGATATCTCATTTATAATTTGCAAGCCATTGTTTGTTAGTAACTGTAAATATAAAATTCTCTCTATGCATTATTTAAAGCAAAGTAATAAATTTGATTACTTCAAGAAATAATGAACAGGAAAGTTAAATGTGGCTTCAATGTAATTATTATCAATAATGTATTTATGATATTATCAATAAAGTAGCATTAAATGCTATACCGTGAATTATAATGTAAGCAATTCATATCACACCATGCATTAATGTAGCACATAGTACTCACTACATATAGTGGCTGTCATGAATGAAGCTGTATTCGCTGTAACGAGAAGCAAGACGAACGATTCTGCATTAGTAATGATAATAATAATTGTTAATGTGGTTGTTATACCTAAGGAAGCGTGCCAACATCTTGGTAGACTGATCACTTTTCTTCTCTAACCAGATCGAACACGCAACTTTCGATTTAATCTTATAATCTTCCGAAACTTTAGCCAATTGAAGATTAGATTTTGTTTTGGAATCGCAAACGATCGTCTCAATATAAGGCATATTGATTGTCGTGCTTTGCGCTTTGATAAGAGAATCAATAATATTTATAATATTTATAATCCTCGCAAGTATTAATTGAGGCTATTATATTAATTGTATGTATTGTGTTAAATAAAATTAAATTATTTTAATATACAATATTAGTCTTTTTTTGTTTTCTCTGATGTAAATTTATTAGATTTATAAGCAAATATTTATTAAATTGGTATAATTAATTAAATTTAAAATTATTCATGCACTTTTCTCACTACTTCGCGCATATTCATAGCAAATATTTTATATTATAATGCACTTCGATCACAAAATATAATTAAAGATCACTAGTTTATATAACGCGTAATCCAAGAAATCCTCAAAACGTAATATTATACGTAATTAATGTGTACAAAATCTAAAAAACATCAAACGTTTTATGTCTTGCAGATTGCTTGTAATGTGACAACGTTTATCAACTGTGAGGAATTACTGGGATTCTTATATATTACCCGAAGAAAAAACAAGTTTTTGACCTTTACATTCTCGCCCCCCACGATGACGACAAAAAATATCTTAAGATAGTATCGCCATTGGTGTCAAATTAGTGCTTGTAACATCTTGCAAGCGAAGAGCCACGTGTAATTTGCATTCGATGACGAACCATCGTGCCAAACAAACAGAAACCACTTACAAATAATTGCTTGATATATTAGAGCCGATTAGAGCTGGAATAAAGAATTAGTCTTTTTTTGTTTTTTCTGATGTAAATTTATTAGATTTATAAGCAAATATTTATTAAATTGGTATAATTAATTAAATTTAAAATTATTCATGCACTTTTCTCACTACTTCGCGCATATTCATAGCAAATATTTTATATTATAATGCACTTCGATCACAAAATATAATTAAAGATCACTAGTTTATATAACGCGTAATCCAAGAAATCCTCAAAACGTAATATTATACGTAATTAATGTGTACAAAATCTAAAAAACATCAAACGTTTTATGTCTTGCAGATTGCTTGTAATGTGACAACGTTTATCAACTGTGAGGAATTACTGGGATTCTTATATATTACCCGAAGAAAAAACAAGTTTTTGACCTTTACATTCTCGCCCCCCACGATGACGACAAAAAATATCTTAAGATAGTATCGCCATTGGTGTCAAATTAGTGCTTGTAACATCTTGCAAGCGAAGAGCCACGTGTAATTTGCATTCGATGACGAACCATCGTGCCAAACAAACAGAAACCACTTACAAATAATTGCTTGATATATTAGAGCCGATTAGAGCTGGAATAAAGAAGCTCCATGTGGGGGAAAGAAAAGAAGACAAAGGTCAGCTTGTCGATAAGAAGAATACTTATGTGTGTTTGGACACACGAGTTTGACTATATATATATATGTATATAAAACTATATGATAAATAAAATACAAATATATATATATATATAATAAAGCTGAATATCTATTCTGTAAAATCAGAAATCTATAACGTGTAGAATCACAAATTATTTAAAAGATATTTGTATTTTTGTATTTATTTCTATTGCTTTTTCTATTTTATTTTTTTTAGTAGAAATATTTAATGTAATCTTTTAATAAAAAGAAATATTTAATGTACATGTTTAATAAACATTTTTTAGCTGATTTTTAATGGTCAAATTGTTTCTAAAGTAAAAGTAAATAATGACAGAAATTCTTAAAAATAAATTAATCTTACCGAAAAGATCTTAGCGGCAGTTCTTTGATATCACTGATTATGCGAACGTAATGATTACTGAATTCGAAATCGTCCATCGTTCTGGTTTTACAAATTTCAAATGAAAGGAAAAGGCACTGACATCAATCACCATTAGAAGTTTAATATTTCGACGTTCGATCTTGTGTATAACATTTTGCGATCTCGCGAGCTCTCTCAACTTTAGTATAACGACAGATAAAATCATCGATCTGCGAGATGGCGTATTGCTGAATGCACTTAAATAATAGCCAATAATAATGCTTGATCGAACAATTGTGATGGGTCAATAGATCGCATTGGTTCTATATTGTATCAATAAACTTATTGCACGATGATATGCCTTTCCTACGGAAAGTAAATTCTATATGTATATCAGTATTGCTTGCAACATATCGCAATTATGCATTTATCCAGGTTTTAATTACGTTTTAATATTACGTTTTTTACAGACGATCGTGATTAAGTGCGTATCAAAATTGATACTGGCGCGAGTTTCGCGTATCGAATATTGATATCGAAAATATAATTCGTAAAAATATTCATATCACTCTTTGATAAAAGTTTTCTTATATATTTTTTATTTAATTTTTTGTGATAATTAAATTAACAATGTAAATAAGAATTTTCTTACCGTGTCTGGGAATGTTCTAATTCCACTGCAGTTCCGAAAGCAGCATCCAGATATTTCGCATTTCCAAATCTCGTGGATGCTGGTACAGCAGCACGCCTCTGCAAAATCGCGAATATCGTTTAGTGTAACAATTAAAAGAGAAAAACATAAAAACTGCTTCCAATCGCATAAAATTAAAACGATTTGTATTTGAACCAAATTAGCTGCACAATCAAAATCGTACTATTCGTATATTTCTTTATCGAACAAACTTAAACTTTAAAAATATGTGTTATTATTTGTATGTTAAAATGTGTCCGTGATTTTATGATGCAGTATCCTTTCTGTTATAAAAAACCGGTCACACAACAGCTGCTAAATTTAGCATTTTTGAGATATTCGTATTGAGAGAAATCGCACTGGTTGCCAGGCAGCTCTGTATTGATTCTTTGATGAATCAATGTCTAATATTCTAAGCGGAAGCTTGCCACGTGCACTCTAATTCGAATCAGTGGGATTGCGTGTACCCATACATGAATGTAATGAAAATTGAAAGCCCGTCCGATCGAAGAATGAGATATATGAAATATTACTTTCGCCACTCGTGCCTCGTTACGCAATCGTTACTTGAACGACTGGAAATGAGCTTACTATTTGTTATAGAAATAAGTTTCATTACAAAAGAATAAAGCTCAAACATTTTTTAACAATTTTGGTAAATCAAGAAAACAAATCGTCAGTTTAAAAAGGAAAATAAATCCACTAATATACAGAAGATTTGAAGAAATCGCGGAGAGAGAGAAATTCTCTCTCTCTCGCTTTACAATAACATTACAACATTTATAACGATGAGTATACACACTCAAATATATGCACATAAAGAGAACTATTTTTTACATATATATACATATTTACGAGTACTGATTTTAACAGATAAAATAAGTCATACAAAAAATATGACTATGTTTAAAATATGTATATTTTTAAGATATGTATTTTTTTTTAAATTATACATATATTAAACACAGGTATATTATATGGTATTAATATATATTTGTCGAAGTATGATTATAAAACGGACATTATAATAATATAAATATACATATTAATTATATTATTCTCGATGTCTCGATAATTATCAGATTTATACATCGCGCACGAACTGTTAACTATAGTAATCTAATTTAAGCATTCCGTTGGCACAACAGACACAACGTGAAATACGACGTATTTTTGTCACCTATATAGGCCACTGTCAACACCCACGTGGTTGTAATAGACAAGAGTAATCTCTTGAATAATTTTCTTTTAATGGTATACATTATAATATTTCATTATAAAAATAATAATTTAACTATATATATTATAAATGATAATTTAACTAATAAATCAGTTATATATTATAAATACATTAATATCGAATTTTGGATAGATATATTCCTCATTATTGCGCAATACACAAATGGAAACGCCATATTCAACGTCTCTCTTACTAGCCATTCGTAGGAATGTCATTAATTTTTTCAAATTTCCATTATTTAATAATTTGCTCTCAAATTTTTTTTCTGTTTTTCCTGCAATGCATTTTTACCTTGCTAGTAGAATGCAATCTTTTGAACCCGTTCGCCCCGACTCTCATGATCTTCAGCATCCTTGCTCCCTGCATCACTACCCTTCAATAGCAAAGCCTTCCTCTCCTTAATCACTCTATATCAATTTATTCGACGCACTGCTAAAAAAATACTCGAATAATTCGTAAAGTCGTAAATAAATCGTAAAAAGAATTCTTAAACTTCTCTCTTCCAATGACCTAAATTTTCTGATCGATGTCGCGCTACACAAACGCACTATAAATGTCCGCTGTGATTCGCACTTTGAATCATGAAATATTTACTCGCATCCACATTAATTCATATTGCGAACATACAATATTTCTGTGAATCGGTCCTTTATTTTCTTAACGAACTCTTGTGCGTCGATTGACAATGCCGTTTAATGCGAATTTATCACTCGTGCAATTTTACGTCAACGACGACGCGAAAGACGACCCTCGGCGTCTCGGCGATCAGCGTCTACTGCACTGAGGGTCGTACAGACGCCCGTGGGGAAGGTAGGAAAAACCGGCCGGTGGGACATGCGCACGATTTAGGGATGGTATAGAATATTCGCTACAGTTGATCTTGAATATGTCACGGGTTCATCGGATCGATGTAATCCACATGGATTATCTCGCAAAAAGAAGAACCGTAAAACGATTTTTGAAAACGTTATTTCAGCAAAATTCTGTATAAAATAATCTTGGCATTTTGTAAATGTCATATACAAGTTAATTATTAATATTTATGACGCTATATGTTACGAAAATAAAAAAGAATAATATTAAAATTTAATATAAAATTTAAAAAAATAAATATAATATATCTTTACACATATATACGCATGTATGTGTGCGTGTAATATCTGGAAACCGAAATTAGATATATATAAAAGATAAATTATATGTATGTGGGTTATTAGAATCGATAAATAATAATGAACACTTATCGTTTATTGTCTTACAATCGTTACACAATAATACATTGTAGAATAAATCTAAACTTCGAAAAATGTAATCATTATATTGAATAATCCTCCATTTCGGTGTAATTGAACAATTATTATTAACAAATTATAGTCATAAATTCCTGTCATTTAAAACTGTAAGATACGTAATGTGTATTGCAATATGTGAAGTCATTTTAATAAAAAATGACCGAGTGGACCGATATAATTCGCTTTGCAATTGAAAAAATAGCTGTTCTGTAAAACTATTCTACTACGAAATTGTATATGTAATATTATATATGTATAATTCGAGATTAAAAAATATTATATACAACTAGAAAACTATCCAAGATTCTTATAAGTAATCAGAGAACAAAGTAACTCATCTCATTACGTTTTATTCGATTCTTCATCGAACAAATTTCAGAATTAATACTAGATTGTACAATAATCAGAACAGATGTGTGAGGCAGTTTTAAAGTTGAGACATGTCTCTTACGTGTATATCGATATTTAACACTTTGGTTTCCATCACCGCCTTACTCGAAATTCACGACGTGCTTATAAACACGAGTCCTTCTCTCTTTCATAGCGTAAAATATATAAACAATAAAAAAAGATTTTAATTGATATATGTGTAAAAAACACACATATATATTTTTTATATACACAATTTATTTTTTCCATTAATTAAATTGTAAATCGCTTAAATAGTTTTTGTTTTTGGCACTTATATATTTTATAACATCGAGCATAAAAAAAATTAGTTAAAACTTTATTTAAAAAATGTCTCTTGATGCGAAAAATTAAAAATTAATTAAAATTTTAAAAATAAATATATCGCAATGGCATTCAAAAAGAATTAATTCAGGCATGTCGCAATACCAATTTTCTTGCGATGTACATAAACCGTCGTAAAATTTCGCAGTTTTAAACTTCTTATTGAAAAATATTAGCCAGACATTATTGCACGCGGCATAATATTATATATGATTATTGCCATTATTCTGTAAGTTATTATTTGTCACTAATGCGCACAAGTGTATTGCATCAATTTTTATTTGCTAATATATGTATATAGATAAATTGCGAGATATGTAGCAAATGGAAGACTGTAGTTTTTAATTATATACGCTTTAATATACGCTCAATAACATAATTGTCCGAATACAAATACACAATTGTATATGTGCAAGTTGTATAGAAATTATAAAAAGTCAAGATTCGAAAATATCGTAACTTTTAAAAAGGCCGGTATCTTCTAATTGCCATAAAGTCGAAAATAGCATAAACCGCTAATGATAAAAAGAATAATAAATGAAGTTGATTGTCTTGTTTGTACAGTGTTGTCGAAAATACATTTTGATGAGGGATTATAAAACTATATTTACAGAGTATGCGATGCTTCTTTTGATTTTATATGATAAAATAAGAGAAACCTTAATTCTATAATATAAATAGGATGAGAATGGAAAGTTTCTATAAAAGCTACCGACAACGAGAAAAACGATGAAAGATGCGTAAAAATTCTAACGCTAATAGAACTATGTGCGATCTGTATTTGAGATCTTCAGATCTTAAGTACACTAATGTCACATACGTCAATCAGGTAAATTTATTCTGAGAAAGAATAATCTTCTTTATGATCGTATAAACCGTATACTTTAAAAATGGTATAAATGTTCAATTCATATTGCAGAATTTCTGTACATTGAATTAATTTAACAACTCCCTTCAAGAATTACTTTACGCCGATTTTTAAAATAGTCTCATCATGTCATCGATTGCATGAATTTATGATGGATATAATCAAAAACTAAATCGACAGATTATGTAGTGACGTAAGCAGATATTTGTTAAAATAATATTGCGAAATGATTTGAATGAGAGAGACGAAAGAGAAACAGAAAGAGAGAAAAAGAGAGAGCGCTAATTGTGGCTCTTTAAGTCTTAAGTAAAGTTACGTCTCTTGTAGACGTGTTATTTTTTTTTGCAGTATAATACGATGCAACGTTAGTAGAGATCTATCACATCGATCTGCATCAAGTAAAGCTCTGAAATAGGCAAAATCGCGATGCTTGCCCGTTTTATTTATTATTAATTATTTATTTAGAGATACCGCCCACAATCTCATGGGTATAACTGCGATACAATTATCGAAATAATATAGTTAATACAAATGTTGAAATTATTACAACTTGAAAATATCAACGGGAAAAGAGTTATAATTAATGCACATTATAAAATTGCAGCTTCTTCAAATTCTTCTTATATTCGTAATATTTTCTTTTTGCTGGATCGAACGCGTCGCGTGCGCGACTAGCACTATCAAAAATAGTACCTTTTTCATTAAGATGTCCCTGTGAGGCGACATTATCACTCATTTTTTATCTCTAACGATCTATTATCATTCGCTGATTAAATATAATTGATTAAATAGCAAAAGGTTCTATAAGGCCTGTTCAATCTATTGTTTCGTCTCCAATACGAGACATACAGCTGACATCGCTCATGACATGACTATGTCATCAGATTACCGTATCCTGATAAGCAGGTGGTCCACTGAGGACAAACTGTCGCTGACTCTGCCTGACGATGTCGGTGCGGTTCGGCACTTGCGGCGTCGCCCTGACACCGTGGTAGTTACTGTAGCTGGACCTGGCACTCGCTGGCCGATTGCTGTAGAGCTCCTCCAGGTCCTCGCCATTCAAACTCTGCGTGCTGGTCTGTTGAAACGTGGGATTGCTCTGGCCCTGCCACTGCATCGCACTGAGCTCGCCGGCAGCCGCCTGCCAATTGTCAGTAAGATTGCGCGTGGAGCTGGTGGTCGCGTGCTGCTGGTCCCAATCGCCGGGCGGGCTCTGGCCAGGCGGAAAACCAGACGATGCATTCGAGTAGTTGTTGGAGGACTCCAGATTCGACGGTGGCGGCGGCCACAGGGCCGGTGACGATACTGCCATGTTCACCGCCTCCGGCTGCCAATTTCGATCGACGGTGTTACGTTCGCGGTCCCAACCGCCGATCGTGATCCGGTCATAGTTGACCCCCTGTGACAGCGTGCTCACGTTCTGATTCGTCAGGGTGCCGATGCAGCCCGGACCCGTGTTGGCGTACAGGTTCTCCTGATGATCCATGATGCGGTTCACCGGGTTCTTGCGACGCGATTGACGTACGGAGCTGCGACGCGTGCTCGAACGTCGCGTGCCATCCCGGGAGATTACGGAACGTCGCTTCACCCGGCGCGGCGTCATCGGCTTCGGTGACACGCTGCTGTCATCCTGGACCGGCGGCTCCGGCTGCGAGTACTCGATGCTGTACAGCGGCCGCGGCTGCTTCTTCTTCCGCTTAGTTCGTACTGTCGGAGAAACAGAGAGAAAGAAAGAAAGATGGTCAGAGAGATTCTGCGATGCTCGATGGCTGTTTCTCCGTTCATTCGCAATCATGACTGCTAATCAAATGATAAGGATGTTAAGTATAATGAAAGCAAAATCAGTTACGCGATATGTAATTTTTAATAAATGCTGTTAAGACTAAAATGAGATTATTATTATGAGATTATTTAATTTAAAAACTTGCCTTTTAGGTATCACAAAATATTCATTTAATAGTATTAGATGTGTGAATCTCTTGTGTTCCTTTTTATCTTAAAATATTTTTAAATTAATAACTTTTAGTATGAATATCGTGAATGTATTTGTATCCTAAAAAAATACTTTTTTATATCCGTAATCTTTTAGACTGAAATATATTAAATAATAATCTGTAATATAAACATAAGTTTTTCTTGCAAAAAATAGTATCTGTATTGTGAAATATGTCGCCGATTTCCAAAAGATACTAAACGCTCAATTAAAACTACAGATTTAATGTCTAAGAAATGTAGAGAAAAAGATTCCCCAAAAACCGAAATAGTAGGAAATTGTTAAAACAGGAAAAGAAAAGAGTGAAGGGTTAATAAATAAAAAAGCAAGCAAATAGTAGCATTGCATATTTATTGTTCCCAATTAACTGCACCAAAGTAAATAATTTGTGATACAGTAGTTAAATACAAAATTAATAATAACGGTCTTAAAAAAAAAAAAACGATAAATATGCTTTACAAACTCGAGATGCTCAATAGAGACTATACTTGATGCAAAATATAAATCTGAAGTGACAAAGAACCTTGTTCTATTTTTCTTTACTCCATTAAAAAAAAAGAAAGAAGTCCTTTACCTAAAGTGCCACCGTAGAGAAAAATAATCATATTTCATATTTAATAAATAAATTTTTTTCTCTATCATCTCTAATATTTCCAGGCGTACAGGTTCTCCTGATGATCCATGATGCGGTTCACCGGGTTCTTGCGACGCGATTGACGTACGGAGCTGCGACGCGTGCTCGAACGTCGCGTGCCATCCCGGGAGATTACGGAACGTCGCTTCACCCGGCGCGGCGTCATCGGCTTCGGTGACACGCTGCTGTCATCCTGGACCGGCGGCTCCGGCTGCGAGTACTCGATGCTGTACAGCGGCCGCGGCTGCTTCTTCTTCCGCTTAGTTCGTACTGTCGGAGAAACAGAGAGAAAGAAAGAAAGATGGTCAGAGAGATTCTGCGATGCTCGATGGCTGTTTCTCCGTTCATTCGCAATCATGACTGCTAATCAAATGATAAGGATGTTAAGTATAATGAAAGCAAAATCAGTTACGCGATATGTAATTTTTAATAAATGCTGTTAAGACTAAAATGAGATTATTATTATGAGATTATTTAATTTAAAAACTTGCCTTTTAGGTATCACAAAATATTCATTTAATAGTATTAGATGTGTGAATCTCTTGTGTTCCTTTTTATCTTAAAATATTTTTAAATTAATAACTTTTAGTATGAATATCGTGAATGTATTTGTATCCTAAAAAAATACTTTTTTATATCCGTAATCTTTTAGACTGAAATATATTAAATAATAATCTGTAATATAAACATAAGTTTTTCTTGCAAAGAATAGTATCTGTATTGTGAAATATGTCGCCGATTTCCAAAAGATACTAAACGCTCAATTAAAACTACAGATTTAATGTCTAAGAAATGTAGAGAAAAAGATTCCCCAAAAACCGAAATAGTAGGAAATTGTTAAAACAGGAAAAGAAAAGAGTGAAGGGTTAATAAATAAAAAAGCAAGCAAATAGTAGCATTGCATATTTATTGTTCCCAATTAACTGCACCAAAGTAAATAATTTGTGATACAGTAGTTAAATACAAAATTAATAATAACGGTCTTAAAAAAAAAAAAACGATAAATATGCTTTACAAACTCGAGATGCTCAATAGAGACTATACTTGATGCAAAATATAAATCTGAAGTGACAAAGAACCTTGTTCTATTTTTCTTTACTCCATTAAAAAAAAAGAAAGAAGTCCTTTACCTAAACCACTTGCCACCGTAGAGGAAAATAATCATATTTCATATTTAATAAATAAATTTTTTTCTCTATCATCTCTAATATTTTCATATAAGTATTATGTAAAAATAAATATGTACATCATTATACACGTTCAACATACTTTTTATCTCTATTATTATGCTCTATAAATAAGATATTGTGTATTATATATGCATAACTATCTCTCTCTCAAAAATAAGAATCGTATTATATATATAATGTGGGTCCACACATTATTTTAAAAAATATCAAACTCATAAATATAATTACTATCTCTTTTTCTAATGCGTATAAAATTTAAGCAATTGTGCAAGCTATATCTATATTTCTCTCTTAGAGAGCAGTCTTTTCTGTATAATCAGCATAATAATTAATTACATGCTAATTACTTTCTGATTTACGCCAAGAACTAATGTAATTTAGTAAATACATATTTTTCGTGATGTCACTTCAGATTTTGTATAAAATTATTATATAACATAACGCAAAAAATCAGTCACTTATATGAGAAACATCAAAGTGGATAGAAATTGTTCTAAACGTGATTGCCAAAAGAGATATCTGAAATTGTACATTTTTCTTATTCTTAAAAGAAATTCCGTCTCAGAAATATTCCCATATATAGTGAATAATTTACCTACATGACTTAATCTATACATTTAGATACATTGCGATTCGTTCTACAAAGACGACTACGAAGACTTTAAGAAATCGAAAATACTTGACACTCTGCTAAATTGAAAATACAAAAAGGCCACAACTACCATGCACTACTAACAAAGAGAAATCAATACGATTCACCGATTTTTTTCATCTTTTACGAGAATGGGACAATCGCAGCTAACTATGCAGTTAACTGTGTAACTAAAATCAAAACGCAACTTTTTGACATATATTTCAATATTTATTAAAAATCACATATGATCTTTTTGCAAAGTATGAATTTATTGTAATTAGAAATTTATTATATGTTATTATGAAAAAAATACAGATTTATATAAAATTTGCAAAAGAATTATTTTTTTAATAATTTAGATTTTAGATATATTTAAAATAAATAAATAACGATAAAGTTATACACAGTTGAAAACTGTTTATGATTATATATATACACATTATTTTAATTGTTTTAAACTTGCGAAAAGTGAAAAGAATCGACAAATCACATATTATACTCTCATTTAAATTCGTTTAACTATTCTACAATAAAAACTGTTCATAGCACCGGGTCAAACTCAAAACTGAACTCTAAAATAAGCTAATTAAAAGCAGTCTAATCGTTTCATAGAGTATCAGCTTGAAGTCCTTATCCATGTGTATATCTGGCATACAATAAAGTTCTATAGAAATGGATTATTTTTGACACACATAGAAGAAATCCAGAAAGAATATTACTGCAAAACAATGTAGTTTCCATCAATTTCAAGATTTTTTGTACAAATTTAAAAACTAGTATTAGATAAAGCTATAGGTATAGAACTTCACAATTAAGTAAAATATTCTAATCATGTCGTGTTTTACCACAAATACGTTGCGTACAATGAAATGTCTCGATGCATACAAATTTCGATGTATCTCTAATCAATTTTCCTACATTATAGGGCGATAAATATACCGTGTGATCTTAAACAACTTCTATATATATCACAGTACATACATCAAGGCGTATTCGTTAATCTGTGATTGGAGAGCAATACGTGTAAACCATTTACAAAATAAATAATTCACAGTTATCATTCATATACTCTTTTCTATAACTTTTTTGTACAAAAAAGCGACGTCTTTTAGCCTCTCCCAAACATCATTAATCTTACTACTATCATAAAATGGTGGCCATGATCAAATTAGTCCAACGTTAATTTTATCGTATGTGTCATCACAGCATTGATACCTTAATTATTCGTATATGCATATTATTAGAAAGTGTAAAAGGATTAAATGATAAATTTGTGTATGTGTAAAAGATGTGTATGAATTATCCTATGTATATAAATAAGCAATATTTACGAATTAGTAGATAAGTCACACTGCACTGATTGTTCGTATGAACGAGCAAATGCTACTGAACACACACAGTTCGACATCAGTCAGTTATTTCGATGCAAGATACGAAGAACACTGTTAATGAGTTACACAATGATATGCAAGAAGTACTCATTTTTTTCTAGACCGACGAAAATCGCCGAAGGGCAGGGAATCTATACTACTAAGGCTAACTATACTAATTGTTCCATCTATTTGGCAAGTCTAGGAATTATAATGTTACACGTACCGCACGTGGATGTCGTATACGCGGCATAGAAGTTCATTAAACTAATTTTCTTAACTCTTCTCGCTATAAGAGAGCAGAAGACCGGTAGGGGACTTTCGTAGGCAATTTTATCTGCCGATCGTGTTCGAAAAGAAGTGTCAAAAAAAAAGTGTGAAAAAAAAACGCGTAAAAGGTCTCATCTTTCAAAAGTTACTCGCGTACAGAGACAGGGGTCGGCTATCTCGTTTCGACGACCTGTCATGTTCGCTCGATGCTTGATGCTGATCAACGGCCAATCTCGGATCGGAGTAAAACGATCTCAGGGGCTTATCGCGCACGTGATCGATGAAGACTCGTCGTGGTTTGGCGGGGTTCCTGGCTTGCTTTGCCGCGATCGAACGAGACTTGATACGCGCGACCGGACTGTACTTGGCCAAGTGCGGATAGTACAGCTTGTTTTTCTGATATCTCAGTTTAGCGGCGCTGTCCAGCGAATCGTACTCGTCGTATACGGGCGACACGGGCCGCTGCAAGTGATCCAATGGGTTCGAGTAATCGACCGAATAATCTAGGTTCTGAAAATCGCGACTGGACGAGCGACTGCTGTTACTACGGACCGTGTCGTTCCTAAGATTGACAATGTTATTTTTCTGTTTCGGAAAGCTCGTCTCGCGATAGGCAGATTGATGAGAGCTAGTTGTGCCGGTCGGGTAATTATTTTCAACGGAATTTTTGTGGGGATATGCGGGTGGTGGAAGAGCCGAGTAGCTAACGTACATAGGATGCAACGGCGTGTGGCCCGCCAACCCAAAGTCATCACCTCCAACAAAGTCAACTGAAATATCATCCAAGAATATCCATCGCATTAGACGAGATCGACTGATTACAGACGGGAGAATAAATAATACGTTAATGAATCGGTCGAAGAAGCGGATACACGGCGTGTATAACGTCAAAAATATTATTACGTTATGTCCGATCTTCTCCTATAACATTTTACGAAGAAGAAATATCGCATCTTGAAGTTCATAGATGTAATATTTGGTCCTATTACATGGCATAGTCTGCTTAATATATTTTGCCTTGAATTATATTTATAAATATCTTTGCTGCAGAGAAATATCATACTACATTAAGACATAATACCATTCCTAGATATGAAAACATAATACCGTTCATGCTAAGATAAAGAAATGCTATTTGAGCAATATATAGTAACAATAATATCAATAATATAATAGATACAAATCACAAATTGCAAGATGCAAAAAGTTTTATAACTCTACATGTTAAAACATAATAGTACACTCTGTAGCTTCATGATCGTACTATGATAAATTATTTATTCGTGCCAAAAGATAGACAAATATATGTTGCGTGCAATTAATGAACATGATTAAGCGGACTTACCAAAATGGAGGATCAAATCCACCAATGAAATCAACTGTAACCGATAACCCTCGTTTCAAGCAATAATAAATAATCGCGTGTACTTACACATATTAATGATCAAGATAATTTTATATTACTAATTAAAATTAAGAAGATGTGCTCCTACTATATGTACTATTGTGCAATTAGAAATATATCCGCTCTCTGTATATTCATATACTCAACAATATATAATATACATTAACAAAAGTACGCATAAAGTAAATAAATTAATAAAAATCTAACCTAATACATATAATAATAATAATAATAATAATAGCTTTTGCTTTTTAAAATGCATTTAACTTGTAAAAAAAAACAATTAGAAAAGAAAATAGATAATATCATTTATATCCTTTATAATTTTCCATTACTAAAATATTTAAATTTGCAATAATCGTAAATTATACAAAATAAATATCACAACTATCAATATCACACAACTTGTCATTTTTGACTTTTCTAAAAATGGGATAAGATAGTCAATGTCTACATCTTTCCTGTTTCTAAATATTCTGTTCATATATGATAACCACATCCTCCTCTCAATTGCTTACCATAAACCACAAGCAAATCACTAAATTTTATAAAAGAAATATTATATATGTATTCTTTAAAATGTAAAAGTGAAAATGCACTTGTCCTCATTAAACTTTTAAATGTAAATCTTTTAGATATCTAAATCTTTAGATATGCCTGATTGCATTCTGATATAATTAGAAACAGAAACCATTAACTGTGTGTGTCTTTAAATTAACTTAATATATAATTGCTAAATATATACTTACAGCTATCATCTTCTTCAAGGAACACTTTACTGAGACAGATTCCGCCGACAATCGCCATAAACTTACTATAAACTTTAATAAATTAATTTTCTATTTATTAAATTTATTTCATAAATATAGAAAATCATATATGCTTTCATTAATTATTTAATTGTTTAAAAAACTGGATTATTCCTAATACTCCAGCAGAAATTTGAGAAAAGAGATGATTTACTATTCTTGATAGCTTTTGCTTTTTAAAATGCATTTAACTTGTAAAAAAAGACAATTAGAAAAGAAAATAGATAATATCATTTATATCCTTTATAATTTTCCATTACTAAAATATTTAAATTTGCAATAATCGTAAATTATACAAAATAAATATCACAACTATCAATATCACACAACTTGTCATTTTTGACTTTTCTAAAAATGGGATAAGATAGTCAATGTCTACATCTTTCCTGTTTCTAAATATTCTGTTCATATATGATAACCACATCCTCCTCTCAATTGCTTACCATAAACCACAAGCAAATCACTAAATTTTATAAAAGAAATATTATATATGTATTCTTTAAAATGTAAAAGTGAAAATGCACTTGTCCTCATTAAACTTTTAAATGTAAATCTTTTAGATATCTAAATCTTTAGATATGCCTGATTGCATTCTGATATAATTAGAAACAGAAACCATTAACTGTGTGTGTCTTTAAATTAACTTAATATATAATTGCTAAATATATACTTACAGCTATCATCTTCTTCAAGGAACACTTTACTGAGACAGATTCCGCCGACAATCGCCATAAACTGAAACATGTAAAATGCCTAAATTTTGGAAAAAGATAATATTATACATAATCTATACAATTACTATGACATTGTTACATAGCATTGCATTATATGATGATTAATTCTCCACTTACACCTAAAATACATTGCGTTGCAGCGTGTAAAATTTCTATCACTTCATAGTCCAGCACGCAGTCCGTTACATTAGTGGGACGTGCAGGTCTAAAGTGCTCTGGCTCCGTAACATCGTAAACAGCTTTGCAACCTGGCCCATTCACATGCCACCAAGAAAAACTACCAGTACCCAGGTTGAGGATATCACTATCCTGAAAGATTACATCCACAATATTTATATAACAATTCATAATATTGCATAAATATCTATGATAACATTCAAATGCAATATATTGAGATGTTATATAATTACATTCTCTACTTACTTTGTCCAGTATGCCTACGCTGAGGTAGAAGCATATTATAAATACGTTCCATCCTAGCCATAATATATTCCATATAGAATACTGAAACACAGAATTAAAATAGTTAAGGAAATTATGTATATATATGTATGCTTATAATTTACACAAATATCTCTTTACTTGTTTTTTTACATATGAAGTTTTATGTAAAGAAATATAATTTGTTTTCTTCTTTTCCGTAATATTTGCCAGAATCAATTACACATACTAAAAATAATTAAATATTATGCATACCGATATGATATATTTAGGTCTATATTGAAAGGCCCCAAAGAATCCTAGAATTACGAAGATTATATTGAAGAAGTTGACCAGTATCGGGGCCCACATAAACCCCAGAAAGTCGAAAACTTGACGTTCTATAGTGGTAATCTATAAGTAAAAATATAAAGTGATAGATTAACTACATAATATATGTATATTAATAAACATCCAACATGTAATAAATGTATATATAATACAAAGTAATATAATCAACCAACTGCCAACATCTCAATTTCTGCTGATTCTTTTGTGCGCGTTCTTAATTTACTTCAATTGCCTTATGTTCTAAATACTCAGTTAATTATTCTGAGTCATAGTACTTGTGATAGCACTACATAACCATGTACATACATCATAAACTGTCTCAAGCTTACACCATAAATTTCTTCATATATATATGTGAAAAAGGTCACTTTAATTCATTATTGTATAGTCAATAAAATTTTAAAAATATTTCTATACAAATTCTATACAATCATAAAAATAAACCATAGATGTTTATTAATAATTAAGAAACATGGAATAAATATAATGCATTAATTAATATTCGAAAAATAAAATATATATGTACACTACATGAAATTGCAGATATACAATACACACAAATACATACAAATATATTTATTACTTTCTTTATATTTTTATTTATTTATAAAATACATTAACATTAAATCTCTTACTAAAAACTTTAATAAATTAATTTTCTATTACTATAAACTTTAATATCGTTGCATGTAAAAATAAAAAACAATTAATGTAAGTACTTCGATATCACACAGTGCTATTCATCGAGTAATATAATAAAATCATGTACGAAACTTTCTTTTATATAAAAACGTTCCGAGATAAACCGCACGACCCGGGTCGATAAAACCATGCGATTATTCACAAATTTGAATCGGCGATAAGAAAAACGTGTAGTAACGGCACTCTCCAATTTTTTCAATAGACGCTCATCGTAACACAATGTGATTAACGAGGGTATTGTATCGCAATCGCTGAATTCGCAAGAAAAAGAGATGACATACTCAACGTGTATGTGTCATTGCATACTACATCTACATATACGTATATATATATCATATATATATATGCAGATTAGCCAGGAATACATTGCAGCCGAACCGAGCTGGCATTTCCGCGTATCCGGATTAACGTGCACTCACCAGTTGTAGGCTGCATATCGTCAATAGAAAGTGTCTTCTGCTGCAAATTCCCATATCATTTGGCCGCGCTCCGCTCAATGAGCGATCTCACGAACGAGACGATCACGATGATAACGAGGAGGACGACGACGACGATGAGGATACTCGCGCGAACCGCATCACCACCTTAACATTTTCCGATGCGTCGTCGCCATCTTTCGCTCTGCTCCGTGTGTCGCTCACGCGGACACACTTGTTCCTCTTCCTCCACCCTACCACGCGGATCACCGTCTGTCTGTCTGCTCTGCAAGCTGCAACAACTGGCACTGGCTGCTAGCTGTTAGTGGCATGCATGCACCGTGCATTCACCGTGGCCAGGCAACCGCAATGCACACACACGTTTCTCGTCACGGTCGGCGAACGACTGCCACCACCACGGCACTTGTGAACCAATCTCCCCCCCCCCCCCCCCCCCCCCCCTCACCCCCCCCCCCGCCACTTTGCTTTACAATGTAGCATGTACTTTGTAAGTTTGGGTCCCCTATTCGCTATATTTACCAAAGTTGCTGCTAACGGTTAATTTTCTGAAAATTTATTGATTTATGTCTGTATTATAAAATAAAATAATTATATTGTGTCTTATAAGACAATATAATGAAAGCAAATAATAAAGACAAAGTTATACATTTTTAATATATACTACCTTGTTTTTTTAATTATTTTCAGAAAATTAACAGTTAGCAGGAAATTTTATTATAATTTTATTATAATTAACATTAAAAATGGCTAATCACCCCCTTCTTTCAGACGCCGGTCGCACGGAGTACTATACTACACACTATACACAGCTGTACTACAGCTGTGAGGAGTCACGTGACGCGGGACCTGTCACTTCGCGGAGCGTGCTGTCACCCCGCGCGTTTCATTAAAAATAATGTTATATATATTAAAAAAAGAAAAAAGGTATAGGATTATAAATTTGTAAGCATATAGGGTACTGAAATATTTTCTCGCCATCGAAAAGAAATGCTCTTTTATGTATAAAAATTATTTCTGTTTTATTAGAAGATAAATACCGCAATATGAAACGATGATACGAATATCTTTGCTGCAGTTTCTTGTGATTGAAACATTCTTACGAGGAATTTTATCAATGACTTTAGATGTCGGGATGGGTATCTCTAAAGAAAGTATCATTTATTTAAAAGAAAAATTAGATAAATAGAACATTGTTTTAAAAAGAGAGGACAAAGAATAATACTTTTTAGTTAGCAATAAATTAGTTTATATATATATATATCAATTTTATTGTAATACATTTCATTTCTTTCTTCTTTTTTTCTCCAAAGCTTGATTACACATATTATTTTGTTTTAGGTATAAAAAAAGTACAGAAAAATATATAATTAAAGAAACAGATATTCGATATCATATCTGATATAATATTCGATATTATAATCATATCACAAATCGCTACATTCATGCTATAAATGTCCAAATAAAAACATGTGTATGCACATAGTATTTAATCTCTTTCTATAATTTATTACAAAAATATCTATTTAAATTTTATTTTTACTAATAATATAGAAATTGCTATACGCATTGCAAGAATGGTTGATAACGGCTGTGACGTCTTTTGATCTTCGAAGATAACTTAAGTTTCCAGCGTCAAGACTGTCTATAAACTGCTACAAATTCTTTGTCTGCCGTGCTTTTACTTATGCACATGTATCTTCGAAGACGGTAAAAATTTACTTAAAAAAATATTATTTGTTATTACTAAATAATAAAAGAATTGCAAGAATTAATATATAAAAGATGAAACGATTTATGTTATAAATACTAAAAAACACACTTCTAATAATCTTAATATGCATTGAAAAGAGATGGATTTTATTGCATTTTATTTTTATCAAGCTAAGTAACGGATTAAATATTATGACACATTTATTTAATTAAAGATAAGATAAAAAGGAAAGGTTATACAATACGTAATTTTTAGAAGATTGCGATCATCGCCGTGCATTACTAGAGAATGAAAAGAAACACAATCTCAAAGAAACGGAACATTTATTGGATCGAGGAGACTCCAAAATCGTCAACAGCTTTTCGAAAACTCGGACAAGCAAAAACGATTCTGCATGGCAAACCTACTGGGTTTCCAGCACACAAAATTTTTCAACGCGTATTAATCAAGTAAATTGCAGAAAAAAGCGTAGAAGCAGACGTTCTCAGATTTATAGAAAAGGTGACTTATAAAAAAAAAAACGTTATGAGTGCTTAATTTTAATTTAGCACATTAAATTAATTTACATTAATTTAACTAACAAAATATTTTTTATTAAAACTCACATTTATTTTATTTTTTTTATTTTAAATTCTTTTTTGTTTAATTTTTTTTATTGTTTTATTTATTCTAGTTTTTATTTTCCCTAAATGTCAAATGTGGCTATGTTTGATTCTGTTTCATTTATATCATAAAATATATTCACAATGGAAAACATCATCGCAGAGGCATTTCTCGCGTTAAAAATATGTGGTCAGCATAATGCATACATCGGTTTTATCGCAGGTACGGCTCTATTAAGGTGTAACGAGGGCACGTTCCGCGTGCGTAAGATATACGGAGATGGCAATTGCATGTTTAGGGCAATCAGTTACATTTTGTGGCGGAACGAGGAAGAGCACCAATCGCTCCGAGCTATGGTTAGTCCATGATTAACATAAATATTATCTGATCATGTAAATTATGGATTTGGTATGCGTATAAATATCATGAAAGACAATGATTCGTCGCATCACGAAATCAAAAATAGAATCGCTTCGCGACGAGATACGCAGTTTAATGATCGAATAAATGTCATATATATCATTATTCTTTAAGCGTCATCTGTTAAGAGTTGACAGTTCAACTTATGCGGTAATTGATATACGACGATGCGTGATAAGGAAGGTATAAATCTTGTTTGACAGGTTGTGCGACACATTAGGGACAATTGGCGTGAGTATGGCCCGTTCGTGATAGCCGAGTGGAACATTTCGGATCGTCAAGAATATTATGATTACATGAATCCAGTGGGTACGTTCGCCAGTGAACTGGAATGTACGGTGGCCACAAAGCTTCACCGCATGAATCTCTCGATCTATCGAGAACTCACTGGCGGATACGAGCTTGAGCTGGTCTTCCACAATCGTGTCAATGTCAACTACGAGACCGCGAGACTCTTATTCACCGGATGCTCCGAAAATGGTCATTACGATGTGCTGTTACCCAATTCGATATCGAGCTTTTATATAAGTTAATATGCGAATTAGCAAAAATATAGATTTTTGTTTTTCAATAGAAGAGATCCAATAGACAACAAATTTATATTAAAATTATTTTACCAGTGTTCTCTTCGACACACAACTTTTGTTATATTTTGTATTTTGTAATATTTTATATAATTTATGGAAAATATATAAGAAAAGCATGATATTTTGAATTTATTGGGGTTATTGATATTTATATTTGTGAACGTAAGATTGTACAATTTAATGTTTCAATTTTGTTATCTCTTTATTAAATATAATATAAAGAAAAAATATATATATATAAGGAAATGAGATCCATACATATGAATGATACAATATATATAAAATAATGTTTGTTGTGTATATAAAAAAAACGAAAAACGTCTTATTTTCATTAACAAAAAAATAACGTTTTTATATAAAAATTACAAAATTCTTTATTGCGTCATACTAATTTTTAATGCTATTATTTGAATTTATTATAAAAAAATAATTAATTGAAATATATCGGAATAAATTTATTGTGATTTACACAAGTCGTGAGAAATACTACTTGTTGCACGTCTTCCAAACGACTATTAAAATTTTTCGCTATCCATCTCGAGCGAATTCGCTGACAGAAAACACAAATTCCCACACTCATGTCGGTGGTCGGCACTGGAATGCTTCACGCTCCATGAGCAAGTACGGAATTTAAAAGGAATAATCGCATCCCTGCGTGTGAAACCATTGTGTGACCGTCATTATTGCGCTATGGATCATGCAACTGGAATACAAGATCGCATAAAGTTAATTAAAAATTATGTGGAATATTGAAAATTATACTTATTCAACCTAACAATTGTAATGTAGATTACGATTGTTAGACTGATTAAGAATAATCTTCAATTTATAAATTTATTACATGATTCACACACATACAATAGAGTACATAAATGTCGGTACATTAGTAAAGCAAAAACATGAAAATATAAATAAAATATGCAATTCTCTATTTTAAATAAACCAGGAAATAGCATTGAATTTGAATACGCGCTATGTTTCTTAATTACTAACTCTGATTACGGAACTATTGAACAAATTTTGTAAATTTTGCTTTTATATATAAATAATATTAAATAACATTTATAATTACATAACAAAAATCCTCTATTATCTTTTTACTCCGTATTTTTGATTATGTAAATTTTCTTAAAAAGTATTATTAATTTCTCGAAGTTTATAATTGTGCGTGCGATATCAGATATATTTAGTCTGTAACATATAATACAATATTGATAGATTCAGTCAGTTATTCTATCAATCAAATTTTAGTTAGATCTTCATTTACCTTATTTTATACAGCATCTTTGAATACCAACTGATACTAATAACGTTTTGGTCCCTGCTGACCGCCTGTACGACTTCCTCAGCCACTTGTTGCTCTTTTTGTCTTGTATAACTACAATATAATAAGTTAACATTAATAAGTTAAAATTCATCATTGAGAAAAAACAGCAAAATTTTTTTCCCAATTTTTTCCCCAATTTTTTTTGCGAGAAAGCTTACCCGCGTCCAGCTACCGGTGAAATTGCCAGGAAGGTGAGATGACTACTGTGATCGCTCAATTGCTGACCTAAGCTTTCCATCAGGCCTACATAATAAATATCTCATATATAAATAAATCACGCGCTAATGATCGACGCAACGTTTATTGTTTACCATACGCGATTTAACGAGCTGCTATTATGACAGGCTACTCACTGGCGATCGCTATTTTCGAGCCAAAGTATGCATCCTGAGTGGATGCAACCGGTGTAACTCCGACAACGTACGCTCTATTATTGCGTCGTAGCATCAAGGGCAAAAACGTCAGCATCATCTGCAATGATAAAAAAAAGCATAGAAGAAACTGATTTTATTATCTAATAAATTATCAAAATTGATGTTAGAAAAAGAGGGAGTTTGCTTCAAAAATATCTTTAAAAAAAATAAACACATATCGGCCAATATTTACCCAATAGTGGCTCATGAGAGTCGTGCTAGCCATGGCGAAAATATCTTGATTAGATTGGCCAACACAGGTCACCAGGACGTCGATGCCGCCAACCTCGTTCTCGATCTTCTTGGCGATCTCGCGAATGGCATTACGGTTCAGTAGATCGCACTCATACGCCATCATTATAGGTTTTTCATTTTTGAATTCGTGTTTTCTATGATTTGGCCCGATTCCCTCTATCTTGCAATACCGCGATTTCAATCTGGCGATTACCTCTTCAACGTATCTGAGATTGTTATCCACACAGATCACGGAACATCCACTCTTTGCGAATGCCTCAGTGAGGGATTCGCCGAGCGTCGACGAGGCACCGGCGACCTGTTGCAGGAAACACTTGTCTTAAATACTGCCACGTATTTTCGAGGCTATTTAATTTTAAATCGAACAATATTTGATTAAATCATAAATATACGATTTTAAAATAAATATTCATTTATTTATATGCCTGGAGTTAATTCTAATTTTCTAATTTTAATTGAAAAGAAATTGCATTTATTATATTTTGTATTATATATATTATAGATGTTATATATTAAATTAATTAGAAATATTTGAAATATTAAGTGCGATTCAAAATGTATGATATATGTAGGTAAGAAGTGTGCGTACTAAGACTACATCGCCGGTCAGATCCCTTGGTGGCTTTGGCAGCAGTGATTTTACGGCATTGAGAATACTTAAAAACCCAGAAATTACAGCGCCAATTAAAAATTCGATGCTGAGATAAAGCCAGATATTGGTCGAAGAGCCTGTTCTCGAATTTGCGGTTATTGTTTCGTCCCTAATTGATAGCATCATCCAACTCTACATAAAATAATAAAATTTTATTTTATTATAATGCTTAATAAACTAGTTTAATAAAAAGAGAGAGAAAGAGAGAAAGAGAGAGAGAGAGAGGCAAAATCATGTTTAAATTTAAATATAAAATTAATTTGTTAATCGCTGAAACATGTGTAACATGATCATTATTACTTGCATCAATAATTGCGACGAAATTATAATTTGCTCTATAGCAATACATAATTATGTCGTAAATTAACTGTGTGATTTTGTCTCTCAATATAATTATTAATTAGCGCATTTTCCAATTTTTCTTCGTTACTGCAAAAATATCGAATTCGTAAAAGATTTTTATAAAAGAAAATCATTTTCTCCTAATTATTAGAAAATATGATAAATTATATACTTGCACCCTGTGTCGAAATCGAATGGCTTATCCTGAGAAAGTATCAATACGATATGAGCAAGTAATTATGTAATATGTAAACTCCTGTGTGTGCCTGCCACACGACGTGTAATAAGGAATACATTGCTTTAGAAATAAGTAAGCATTCGATAAAAAAGATTTACGATCATCGTATCGAGGTGTGAAAACAAACTAATCGAACAGATATTGGTTATGTGAGAAATCGTTGCATGAATATGTTTTAAGTAGCTAGAAAGATGATTTAAATTGATGATTTAAATTGATCATTGATTAAATATCTCCTCATATTGTCTAATTTTGATGTATTGCAAGGAGTTTATTGCAGTTAATCGTTCAGCATTGCAAAATATACTAAATCTCGATTAGCTTATTAGATATATATCAGGTGATTGCATAAGTTCGTGCCCGATTTAAATATAAACTTCAATAGATTATATTTTAGAGATAACACTTTTATTAATCAATTATATAGTCTCCATTCTTTTCTACAATGGTTTTCCAACGATCTACAAGCTTGTCGATTCCATTTTTGAAGAAAGAACTTCGTTTTTCTTGAAAAAAGTTTGTAAGGTGGTTTTCGACAGCTTCCTCAGAATTGAGATTCTTGCCATTTAAACTATTCTGCAAAGACCGGAACAGATAAAAATCTGAAGGCGCAATATCTGGAGAATATGGCGGGTGCTGCAAAATTTCCCATTGCAACTCCTGCAGTTTTCACAGCGTCTGTTGAGCGACGTGTGGCCTAGCATTGTCGTGGTGGAAGATGACGCCTTTTCGATTGGCCAAAATCGGACGTTTTTCTCGAATAGCTGCAGCGAGTCTAGTTAGTTGCTCACAGTACTTGTCCGCCGTGATTGTTTCGCCGCGTCGGAGCAGCTCAAAGTAAATAATTCCCTTGCGATCCCACCAAACACACAGCAACACCTTCATCGGATGCAAGCCAGCCTTTGCTACGGGTTCTGCTCCTTCAGCTGCTGTTTTCCATGTCCTCTTTCGCTGTACGTTTTTGTAGAGAATCCACTTTTCATCGCCTGTTACCATTCGATCTAAAAAAGGCTCTTTTTTGTTACACTCGAGAAGAGAAAGAGCCACAGTCATACGGTTTAGCTTATTCCTTTCAGTCAGGAGATGCGGCACCCATGTATCAAGCTTGGAAACGTATCCAAGCTTTTTTAAATGACGAAAAGCGGTTGAATTATCGATGTTCAGCCTCTCAGCAATATCCTCAGTTGTAATCCTTGGGTTTCTTTCCACTAAGGCATGCACAATGTCATCATCAATGCCAGAAGGCCGTCCAGAGCGGGGTTGATCCTCCATGTTGAAATCACCATTTCGAAATCTGCCAAACCACTTTTTGACTGTTCGGAGAGCAGGAGCGCGGTCCAAATAAACGGTTTGAATATTTTTTTGTGCAATCCCAACACTCACGCCTTTCCGAAATTCATATAACATTACATGCCGCAAATGCACCTTTTCGTTCTCCATTTTTAATGATTTCTCTTATGCACAAATGGACTTATCTGAACAATGTCTGACGCTAAATTGACATAAGACAACGTCATCTATTCGGTGTAAGCAACAATTACCACACGAAAACAATAGAACTCCGCCATGCAGTAACTTAATGCCATCTATGAAAATCGGGCACGAACTTATGCAATCATCCAATACTTCACAGCAGAATATATCTCTCATTAATGTGATATTTTTTAAGACATTTTTACGATAAATGTTAATCTGCTTATCTTCTTTTTCAACGCATCCTGTGAAAGTTTAAAGATATTAATGAAAATTATCTTTTTTTGGACGATTGCTAACAATTTACATGAAAAAGTTGTTAAAATAGCTTATTACACAAATGTATACACATATATAAATCATATATTTAATGCATATATTATTTGCATTTATATGCATGTATACGTAGTTTTATATATGTACAATTATTATTATATTATATTCATATTAAAATTTATATAATTATTTTACAGTAGAATAAAGTTATTCGTCTTGAATTTAATTCGCAATCATTATCAGCGTTTCGAGAAAATTATGTAGCCAATCGGGCAAATTTTTAAATTAATTTATGTTAATATCCAATAGCCGTTTCCACTTCTGAGCTACTATTGATATAATTGACACGATGAATCAGAATTAGCTTTAAAATGCAACAAAATAAAAAAAGAATTGGCTCTCTGGTAATTATTACATAACGCGCTTTAAACTAGATCTACTATTTGATTGCTACTACTTGATACTTACTCATGAAAACGTAATATTAATGTTTTTGCTGCATAAAGGAAGAAATAAAATTACAAATGCACATGTTAAAAAAACAGAACGAAATGCAATGTTACATGTATTTAGGAAATATTGAATGTACTCAAGTTCCAAACACATACATATACTGTATCTAGATAAATTATTAGAACTTATTGCATATTTTAGCCATGATTTAATAAATTAACTTTGAATTAAAAAAAAACATTTGCATCTCTTTTTAAATATATATCTTAATAATCTTAATTATTAATCTTAATCTTAATTATTAAACGTAATCTTAATTATAATATAAATATAAAAATAAATAATTTAAATAAAATGAATTTAATAAACTACAAATTAGTTCACAAATTCTATCTTGAAAATCATTTATGATTAAGTTGAAGTTTAATTACAGTTACGTAATATATATTATTTTATAAATCTATACTGCATTTTTATAACCAAAATATTTATAATGTAGAAAAGAATTTTAATCAATGATTGGATTTAATATGCAAATATTTCTGTTTTGATAAATTAAACAGTCTACTAAAGAATCGCTAGCAATGTGCATACGTATGAGTTCAAAGTGTTGCAACACTTTGCGGTTTAACAAATCGTAAACCGTCTTGCTCTTTTTTCTGTTTAAATAACATAAAACGCGATTGGTTGGGTTAAATCTTGACATAATCTTGACATCACCTAGGAGAACAAATAATAACATTGCTTTCGAAACAACTAGCAATCACCATAGCTTTGTGGTTGATTAACACAAAATAGAATATTATACGACCTATTACCTAATTAGATTTGCGAATTTTACTAAGTTTTTTAGTGGTAATTTATGTTAAATTATTCATAGAAGGTTACAGCTTATCAGGCTAGTTAGGTTTACGAATTTTAGAAGGTCTCTTAGCAGCAATTTATATTGAATTAATTTTAATGTTTGTGTTATATTAATTTCATGTGTGAGCTCGTCGCAAATGATCCGTCCGTTAATGATCACTTTCATTATATCGATTAATTCGATCGATTCGTTTTAATTGTCAACATAGACAAATATAACCGAACTCGTTTGAGAAAACACGGTTCAGTGCATTCAAATTCCGATATCAATGTTACATTACAGTGCATAAATTAATCGAAATAAACTTATAATCTTATTTTTGCTAAAAAGGTGGCTTTGTCATTGAGAAATATATATCTGCAATGTATATGCATTATACATATACTGCATAATTATATTGCATGGATATTTAATTTTTACTTTTTAGTCGTATATTACTAATACTATAAAAATACTTCACGGTGCAATCGAAGCCTAACTTGCAATATGCTAAACGCTTCAATGACAGAATCATTAGTCTATGACGGAAATATTAAAAGATATAAAGCGAATATAATCAAAATATTGAAAACGTGAGTTTGCTAGTTTATATTCTTAAAATACTCGTTTAGGTCATTGTCTTGTACTACACCTGTCTATAGCAAATTAAAAAAGATATTGAATACAACCAGTCAACGACTGGAATATTGTGTAAGATACGAATGCAAAAATGTAAGCGAACATAATACAATAGCAATGCACAAGCAAATGCTAAATGTAAATAAAATGAAATAGAATATTTGTAGACCAAACGTTATTTTTCCCTGTTACATAACAAGTACGTTCCTTGGATCCATTGCTTTCCATCGAAATGGTAAAAAGTAGTTGGGTTCATCGGACTCGCACTTGCCGCAATCAAATCTCTATTAGGAGATCTGATGATTGCCATGCATGAGGCAAATTAGAAACTACTGTTTGAAGCATAAATAAAATCCGCTCTAAAATTACATTTTGCGGAAAATGATTTACATTAACAGGAAATGATGCGCGATAACTAATTTAAGTATAATTAACTGTCTTGTTCAACGTAACAGTAATAAAAATACGATTAAAGGAAAG